CGTTTTGATTTTTTTGTCCTATTGATTTTTTATTAAATAAGGTTTTAACGAGGCAGATATTTTGTAATGTGTCATTAAAGGGGGAGTATTGTAAAAGGAAAGTAAATTAGGATTTAACGTGAATGACACTTGTAACCCTGCAGCCCTAGATATTATTACTATATGTATCCCTATTCATTCCCTATAAATATAGGGTTTTGGTTCTCATTATAATAGACATAAGTTTATTGACTTATCTTATTCTCTTCTCTTTTCTCTTTTTTCATAACAACATTATAATTATATATATTATAAATATAATTACCCAAACCCTAATCAAAATATTTTCATTCTCTTATCTTGTCTCACTGTGTTCTCTCTCCTCACTCTCTTCTCCGCACACAGCCGCTTCTCCGTCGCATCAATTCCCAAGACCTCGGCACGGTACCGCCACAAGATGGAGAAGCTCCACACGACGATGCTGGGGAGACTTGATGTTCTGATTTATAGGATTTCATCCTCCATGAAGGTTCGAATCTGCGATGGCGTTCTGGTACTGGATATGCTGCGATGTTTTAGTTCTGGTAATGGCGTTGTGGAGATGGCGGCAATTTTGTAGATTTGGTGGTAACGGTGGTTGGGTGCGGTTGTGTGGTAGATCTGGCACTGTTGGTGGTGGATCTGTCGTTGGGGAGGTGGTAGATTTGGCATTATTGAGGGTGGTGATGTGCGGTGTTGGGTGCAGTGTCGGTTGTGCCAACAAGATGGGGTTGGAGGTGGCACTGATTATTTTGTGAGTGGTTATTGGTGTCTGTGATTGTTGGTGGTCCCGATTAGTTTGTACGTGCGTGCGACGGTGGGTGTTGGGCGTGCCTGCAATATGGGGTTGGAGGTGACTATGATTATTTTGTGCGTGTAATCGAGTGCGACCAATTAAAATTGTGACTGTGACTCGCTGTAATTGAGTTGTGACCAAAATAATGTGTGGCCAATTAATTTGAGAATGTCAACAATAAAATAAATGAGTTGTGACCAATAAAATCTTGGATTTGTCATCGATGCATAATATGTGACCTAAAAATTGTTACTGTGTCTCTTGCCTAATTTAGCTCTTCTTTGGTGTCTATTATTTTAAAATCATTTTTAATTACGCATTCATACAATTAAATATTTTGCAAGTGNAATAAAAATGTTGATTTTGTGATCGATGGATGAGTCGTGACTTATAAAATTTTCTATTTGTGACCTAGAAATGCTTGTAAAATTCTTGATTTGTGACCATAAAATAAGTTGTGACCAATAATTTAATAAACTGTGATCGATTTGCAATGAATAAATGAGTTACTAAAGTCACACTTTAGTGGTCGCAGATTTGAGTTCACAAGTCACGATCATTTTGTATAGATCACAAATGAATATGACGGGTCGCGGATCAGTATGATCAATTAATTCGATAGTTAACTGTGGTTAATTAATTCACTGTTAAGGTCATAAGTTTGAATTCATAAGTCACAGTCATTTTTTATAGGTCACAAATCAATATTAACAGGTCACATGTGTTTGTAGGGTCACGGTTAAAAAATACATGTCACATTTATTGAAATAGTCATCGAAACGATCATCACCATAGTCGTCGAAATCGGAGCAATCGTCGGAACGATTATCGGAATCAGAGCAATCGTCGAAACGTACCGGAATAGTCATCGAAATCGGAGTAGTCATCAGAACGGTTGTCGAAGCGGTACGGGTGGTGGAAGTGGGGTGGGTTAACTATATTATATATATATATTTGAAAGTTGTTTTCTTATTTTTGAAATAGTATTTAGTAAAAATACGAGAAATAAATTTTTCCCATTTTTAATTCTCATTCTACAATAATGAGAATCAAACGGGCCCTAAATTAGGGGCCACTTATGACTTGCGTGTGTGTCAATTTGAATTTTGGGTACCATTGCAATTTTTAATCGGGTCCGTCTGATAGGCAAATATGAAAATGAATTCCAATTTCATGTTAGTTGGAAAATAAAGACTCATCAAATCCATAAGAATTTGCTTTCGATGAAAATAAAGAAAATGTAGCTTAAAATGGTTGTCACTTGAAATTCGATTTTCATTTTCATATTGCAATCAAACTGTCAAAATAGAATTCTATATGACATTTTTCATGAAATTCGTTGCAATCAAATCACACCAGAATTAAAATATATTTTCAATAAATACTCCCCAATAAAATTATAATTCTACTCCTAATTCAATAAAAACAAAAAATAGGAAAAAAAATAATAATAATACAATACTGTGATGTACTTATCACCAATATTA